AGGACCTTCCCCGCGCTTCCCTCTCCCCTGTGCCTACGAGTATCTCCTGCGTCCCACGCTTCCCTTTAGCCCCATAGATTAGAATCGGCTCTATCTTACTACTCTTTAAACTACCGAAGCTTTAGTATATAATATTCTTCTCAATAATCGCAATAATCGCAATAATCAATACATGTAAGGAAACAATGTCTTTTCTTTCAGGCGATGTAATATAAACAATATTATAATATCCCTTTAGACTGCCTCGGTAATCTAAAGACTTAGGACACTCGCACGAAATGAGAGATCCGGGTTCGATTTCCCGGCTGAGGTAATATTTTTCGCAATAAGAATTAATTATTTACAAATTTTAATATGTTATTCAACATTATTAAGATCTTTTCGAAGATGCGAATAAACATCAAATATTTGTTAAATTGCTAGTCAATTTAACTCATGATATTACTGCGGTAATTTAATAGAGCGTTTAGTTAGCGTTTTCAAGACTGAAAAATTATTTCTGGGAACTACATATGTAATATATAAATTCACACAAGAATCACACAATTTAAGATCCAATTAGACCTTTTAAGACTTCAATTTCTATAATATTAATAAATAATAAATATAAAAAATTTTATTTTAGACCGCATGTGAGAAATTTTCACGGAAAATCTTACGATTTTTCTGCATTTCTTTTTTCTAATTTTGTATAATGGAAATTTCTTTAATGTTGTTTTCGTAACTAATATAATGCGCGAAGCAAAGTATGTGTTTTCACTCTTTGCACATGCTTATTGCCTTTACAATGTTACGCCCATTATCAGTAACGAAAATTAGTGATTGATTAATGTGAAACTTCCATGTACTTCCATTCCTAAATAATATTATATGTTATTTATATTTTCTGTGATTTTTTACTTGGTGCAAATTAAACATGAAATGATGCATATTAAAATCATATGTAATATGAATTATCAATGATAAATAGCTTTCAATAGTTCTGGATATCCATCTATCAGTTGTAAAAGACAAAATACTATTTAGAAATTTAATAGAGTTTTTTACAAAAAATTCCATAATGAAAAACAATATACAATAACAAGAAATTATTATTTCTCCAATATCAGCATAGTTTATTATAATTTGCTTTTTCATATATATTCGTCATACATATTCGATATTTTTTCTTTTGAAAACTTTGTGTGTAAAAATATTTTATAAGCTGGTTCAGCAACAGTTAAGTAATGAACGGAAACCAACAATGCTGTATGGCTATATTGCAAGTCATCATATGAGCAATGGCATCAGTTAACTCTTTTCATCTGTTAGAATTCTTATGTAAGTATGAGAAAGTCTTCTTGAAATTACTCTTTTCCGCAACTATTTTATATGGATATTTAAATTTTAAATGTCGTAAGCCACTCGTATTTCCATATTTTGTTTTCAATACAGCATTGCAATGGACACACTTAGCTTTTTGTTTATTTATTTTTTCAAATTCTCCACAAACAAAGTTTTTACTTCTATTCTCCCTTTATGAGACACTTTGTGTACTGCTTCTAACCGTATCAGTAATTTCAGCTTCACTGTCGCGAGACATTTTACTTTATTTTTTTACTTTAAGAAGTTTATGAATAATTAGTGAAATTATAAAGATTTAAGAATATCTCTGAATCTCATGAACATACACAGATAAATGACAATATTTCAAAATATCGATTATATCGGAACATCCTTTCTCCGAATTCTAAGAATTCATACAACGAAGAAATCTTCATCTCAAAATTGAGCATGGAAAAACTATGTTCACTGTTTTTGGGATGGCAATTACATGCGTGGTTCTTCGAGTCTTTACGATATTATAATACAAAAACTAAAACTCATACAGCAGACTCTTTTATCATAGATAAAGACAGAAAAGATTCCATATAGTATCAGATATCCCGAAGAGTCTTGGGAAACTCGAATATTTTCAGGAATCCCAAAATTTTCAGGATCCCGTCCCAATCCGATTCGCATCTCCTCGTCCCAAGCATCGGGTTTCAGGAATTTTCGAGATGTGCGTCCAGCATATCTCTAGTAAGAACATAATCAATACTAAAAATTAAAGGCCTATAACATATATAATATAATAATTCAAGATTGAATTATTTTAAGCCTTAAAAATCCAGCTAGGTCTTTAATTTCTAGTATTAATTGTGTTATCACATATGCGGCCTAAAATAAAGTTTCTTATTAGTTTACAGTTTATATTCTATTGATTAGTACGTAAAAAAAATCTCTAAAAACCTTTCTGCATCAACTATCCCTGGCCTTCTCTACATAGAAAAAAAATGTCTGAACCATAAAGATGTCTGAAAATGTAACCTGTTTTATTGTTGTCTGAAGGAATAAAATTAACTCATAAAAGTCCTGAGGTCATTCTTTGTTGTATTGTATATCAAACAGAATAAACTAAAATTTCATTAAAAAAAACTTATTTTTTTGAGGTTTATAAATTAGAAGATTTATCAATTGTTTAAAAGTCAGAAAATTTATCAATTTTATAAATAATTAACTAAAAACAATTTGTAGAGGAAGGTCCTCTACTATGAGATAAGCGCCTAATATGAGAGTGATGTTTCTACTAAACTATCGTAAAAATAAACTATCATATAAATAAACGCTATTTATTGGTTCCACTATGAATTTATTGCTCTTGGATTGAAAATTATTTAAGTAAAAAATTTATTATTAGATCATGCCTGTAATCATTGTAAAACAAGATTTTAGAATTTGGATGACTCTTCAAGTTTCATTGAGATGAGCCTTTAAAGATTCTTTATTATTTAATAAATAATTATTTGGCAATAAATTCTTCATGTAGGGATAGAATAAAGTCGTACTAATAGAAAAATACGAAATATGTTGAAATGTTTAATTATAGAAACTAGATTTGATAATTGTAAAAGCATATATGGAAATTGTAATATGAAATTCTCAGGGTATTTCTAATATGAAATAACTCATGCTTCTATATTATAATAAAAATCGTTGCTAAAATATAAATGTTATTGTACAGTAATAAAAAAGACAATCGGAATAAACAAGTGCCGAGATAAATGTGTTGAAATAAATTTCTACGATTCCAACTACCTGGAAACAAGTTCTGGATATAATCTATCGCATGATCATTTTTCACGCTGGCTGTGTTTGTTTGTAATTTTAGAAACATTAAGTAAAATTTTTTAATTGCAATACTAATATACTTTACGTTTTACTATCGATTTCTTGGGACATCTTATATTAGGCACATTTTTTGACTTTGCTATTTGCTCATTTTTTACATTTCTTTAATTAGAAAAAAAAAATTTGAATCAAATTTTATATAACGTCTTAAAGCTTATTAATCTTTTCAAAACGATCTATTATTTTTTTTAAATTCTGCCTATAGACTTCTAGAATTTATCCAAAATAAACACGATATTTTATAATAAGTGCCTTTCCTCTATATATTGTATATTGTTTAAAGAAATTTTATAAAAATGTATTTCAAAAAATGGAAAAACATAAAATCATTCATAAAATTGTTCAATATTTTTATAAGACAGAAATCGAATCAACAAAAAATGATCCAACTTTTAGGGATTTTATTCTTGCGCAATAAAGTCGGGCAACAAAAAAATAGAATAAAAAATTTACCTTTACACAACCCCGTCCCAAATGATTTCTCACTTTGATTAAGTTTGGCCTTCAAGAAGATCAAGGTCATTTTCCGTCGTTCGGTTCATTAAAAGATTCATTTAAAACATTCATTAAAAAGGTATGAATAGAACAATTTTTGTGAATAGTACACAATTTTTAAACATAAGGTATATATTTCAGCAGTACTTTTTCTTGACAGGAAGAAGTAAATCGTGCACCTCCCCTTCTTCCAAGCAAAGGAAGGAAGTGGGGTCGCTTCAGACGAAAACCGCGTGCCCCCAAGCAGAGAGAGAGATGGGATGGAGTCGCTTCCCTTTGCTTGGGAGCGCACGATCACCTGCGAAGCGATAAAAATTCTTCTGTTCATAACTTTTTAATGAATGACGAACGACGGAAAAAATCAATGATCTTGACCTCCTTCACAATCAAGATTAACATCGAGGTCGGTTAAAAGTCATTTGGGGCGGGCTGTGTAAAAATAAACTTTTACCAAAAATAGTTTATTATATGCACATCAGAATATTCTTTATATATTGCCAAATTTTCATTATTTCTGTAATTTTCATGTTAAGGACCTTCTCTTGTAAGTTCTGCTAGATTATATGCAAAAGTGTATCTTACTATCCTGTAATATGTTTGTCGAACGATAATAACGTCAACATGTTAACAATGTTAATAAGTTACATTTCATGCAAACATGAGTATACAGTGTACGTGTATCATTTGATAAGTTTGATAAATTTCCATGAAATGGCGCTACAATCTATTTGATGACGCGACATTTCGAAAGATCCACTCTTCGAACTCCTTCAGGCCAAATTTCAGCCAGAAAGGACACATAGTTCACGTTTTGTAATCATTTGAAGCGAGATTGGCGCACAAAAAAGTGCTCTTCCATCAAGACAATGCGCTCCCACAAGTTGACCGTTGCAATGACAAAACTACGAATTGGGCTATGAATTGATTCCTCATCCATCCTATTCTCTGGATTTGGCTTCGTGTGACTTCTTTCTGTTCCCACACTTAAAAACTTGGCTCGGGAAGAAATTCTCGTCAAATGAGGAAGTCATTGTCGCCGTCAACGAGTATTTTGCAGACTTTGAGACAGCCTACTTCAAATGACTACCAAACGTGAACTATGCGTCCTTTCTGGAAATTTGGCCTAAAGGGGTTCGAAGAGTGGATCTTTCTAGATGTCGCGTCATCAAATGGATTGTAGCGCCATTTCATGGAAATTTATCAAATTTATCAAACGACCCACGTATTTAATTTCACTGAACATTATTCACTGCAACGAATATTAACTAATGGTAGTTGTAAAATATATGTTGTAGGAGGTGACGTTGCGGAAAAGTGGGAGCGCCGAGAAGTTTGGACTGACTGTGTGCTATAGCTCTGGTTCCGGCAGTGAAGACCTTGACACCGAGGTTTATATCTCGGAAATAGTTCCTGAAAGTCTCGCAGCCCGAGATGGCCGGTTACGAGAAGGAGATCAAATTTTGCAGGTAAAAATCAGAAATTTTTTTACTTACATCACTATGTGTTTCATTCCGCGAACGTTAAAACACTATCATAACGATTTGCCAAAGTGAATTTACAATTCACTCACAATTAAGTAAAAATTTCCTATTCAGAAATTCAAAAAATTGTAAAATTTGGCGATACATAAAAAATATTTCGACAAGCCATTTTTTTACTACTAAGCTATTTTTTGCTATTCAAAATTATTCTGGGATGTAAAATTAACCTGCAAGTTGATTTTTGTTTTATTATCCAAAGATAAAATTCAGTAGCGCAGAAAAGTTTATCAAGACATCCTCTATGTATTACTAAAATTCTATAATTTCCGAGTTTTTTTTAATTTTCAAGTTAGATATTGTCTTGAAGAAAAGTAGGTCTAAAATTATTAATATATTGAAAACGATAGAATTTACGTGCACCTGGAAAAAATAAATTTTATTTGTAAAATTCGTTGTATTGTGCTTTGATATAGTCTAAATTTTAATTCGCTGTTTCCTTTTGATAAAAAAAAAATCTGTTGTTACAATAACTTGATAAATAAAATCTAAAATTTGAATATAAAATTAGAAATACGGTATTTACATAACATTTATTGAAAAAAAATATTTACTGATAAACTGATTTACTGTTAAACAATTATTTCACCGGCAAAATAATAAATTAGGAAACGCGGTAGTATTTGTATTAATTTTATTGTATAACTTCGTAACGCGTGATGAGTGACTGCTACCACCTTTCGAAAGTTGTTCGGTATGCTGACTTTCATAATGTGGGAGAGTCAGGGTCATCGAAGATGAAATTCCATTTTATGATATATGAATATTCCATTTTAATTTTAATAGCATTCTTAATGGGCAATGGTCGCCAGTTGAAAGTGATGGTCATTCAGGATTCTGAACTTAACATGAATCATTTTAATTTTTTTGATAGCTTTGTAATGCGTGATGAGTACCTGTTACAATTTTCCGAAGATTGTTGATCTTCACAATTTGTCAAAGGTGTGATGATCTTCACAATTTGTCAAAGGGTCAAAGTCATCGGAGATGAATTGTCCTTCGATGGTCACTAAGGATCATTATCTTGACTATATATAGTATGTTACAGTCAGCGTCATCGGAGTTGAATTCTCTATTTCATTTTTAATAACTTCTTAACGTGAGATGGGTGATTGCTTAACCTTCCGAAGGTTGTAGAAAATGTAGTGAGAAGATAAGAATCGTATGTCGCAGGCATACATCTATGTTAATAAGTAATCATTTCAAATTGAAGAAAAGAAAACAATTAAATAAAAGTTATAAATATGAAAAGTTATTCAAAGTTTCATATAATTATAAAGAATTAAGATAAATTAAAAATAACAAACGTTTCGAGCTCAATTGGATCATTCTCAATGTTATAAATAATATAAAGTGACAAGTATAAATATATTTAAAATATAACGGTTTTAAACTAGTCGATAAAAAGATAAAAAAATATATGTACAGACTTCTAGTGAATATGTATTAATGGTCATCATGGTGTACTAATCATTATCGCAATCTGTCGTTATAAAGCTGACATTACGTCCCAGTTGATTTAGCGCGTGTCATTATGAATATACTTAAAATAAAGGATGGGCCCCTTCATCACTCATTTTTGTGAGAATGCAATCATATTTTCTTCGTCTCTTCGATTCTAACACAACCTTTAATATTTATTTCGATTGCAACAGAATTTTTAATATTAAATATACTTTTTTTTTATTAATGAGGAGGAGAAAAATCTTTACATAGCCCTTATCCGGTATGTTCCCGAAGGAGAATCTAACCTAACTGAATGAGGGGAAAACATCCAGGAGCCGGTTTCCTGATTGTGCAGGATTCGATGAGTTTGTGTTCCTCCTATAAGGAAGGACAGCGGACATTGCCTACTTGCTAAAAAACTCCCTATTCAGCACCTCCGCAAGACCACATTGGGCACACTCGGAATTATCTACCCGGCATTTCAGCAGGATGCATCCAAGTCATGAAGTATATACTCCCACCTCCAGGTTCGGTGTACTACTTGAAGCTAGATAAATCCTATATTATATTAAATACTATCCTAAATATGTACATTTTTATATATACATTTTTACACATGGTTGTCGTCAAACAGGTCTGAGCTAAAAGAGCCCTTTCCCTCTTCGGGTCCTGACTCTCCCACTCGGCCCGCTCCTTCTTGGGAATGACGGCCTCACGGAAATGCGTCTAACACGCAGCAGAGCATATAGCCGCTCTGACAATGGAGCCATATATCAAGAACATGGACCCTAACCGCTCAAAAAGTGACGTCTTCTCCGCGATCCAAGATGAGCAAAACAACAGCGTATGCATCGCATATGACAATGCATACAAATCGGTGACGCGTTACGCTGTATCACAAAAAGATAATTCTCAAAGTACTCACCCGTCAAAATCTGGGTCATACGGATTGCATGAATATATTGAAAATAAAAAATGAGTCCCTCCATCACCCACTCTCGTGAGAACGCAACCATATTTTAATATTATTCCGTTTTACATATTTGTTCCATTTCACATGCGAGTACTATATTAGGATATCCTTCGAAATGCTATGCGAATCCTAATCTCTGCAAGTCATACATTGTAACGATAAGTACTTTATCGCCTCATTTTTCTTTCGTGAGGAATATTCGAAATAATGTCTACAAATTCATAGGCAATTATAAAAAGTTTCAGTTGTTTTCAGCATTGAGATTTGTCAATATGGATAAATTGTTTGAAATTTCCAATGATTTAAAGAATAAAGCAAGCTGTTATCCAAGAAATTTAACGAATATTAGTTTGGACAAGGAAAAGATTTTCTCATAAAGCTACGATAAAATTGTGTGATAAAACTGTTTAAAATTATGAAAAAGCATTTGTTGGATCTACCATGTCCTTTGTATCTCATGCTAAAAATTTTGTGAACAGAGACATTTCTAAGCTTGAGAAGTTGAGGAAAAATGGATGGACCTTTTTGAAAAATCTGATGGCCTACATGACAGAATACATAATACTGCTTCTGGATTCATTTATTAGATGTACAACTTTGCTTCCGCCGTTTTTCTATAGATGGCTTTAGCGGTAAGTGGTGATCGAAATAAATAGATCATAGACGTCATACAATATACATGGGCATCTGTCAACATGACCCCACAGAAACATTAGTCGATTTGTGTCTGCATCATAAAGTTATTCTCGATTGAAAATGTCAATTTACGAGCCAAATTCTCGTCATTTGCGGTCATTTTAATTTTTTCAATATGAAGAAATCTGCGGCTGAGGCTCATCGAATGTTCTCAAATACTTATGGTGAGGCCGCTATTAGTGAAAGAACGTGTCGTGAGTGGTTTCAACGCTTCAAGAACGATGATTTTGACGTCCAAGATCATGCTCTGTATTTGGTGGGACCAGCTCGGCGCAGTGTATTATGAACTGTGAAAACCGACTGAAACAATCACAGGCGATCGGTATCGAACGCAATTGATGCGTTTGAGCCGAGCATTGAAAGACAAACGGCCGCAATACAACGAAAGACACGATAAAGTGATTTTGCAGCATGACAATGTTCGACTCCATGTTGCGAAAGTGGTAAAGACATACTTGGAAAGTGGTCAAGACATACGTTGAAATGGGAAGTCCTATCCCACCTGCCGTATTCTCCAGACGTTGCTTCCTCTGGCTGTCACTTGTTTTGATCAATGGCATACGGCCTGGCTGACCAGCACTTCCGGTCTTACGAAGAAGTAAAAAATTGGATCGATTCGTGGATAGCCTCAAAAGATGACCAGTTTTTTTGACGCGGGATTCGTACGCTACCCGAAAGATGGGAGAAAGTAGTGGCCAGCGATGGACAATACTTTGAATCATAAATGTATACGCAGTTTTTTACAATAAAGCCTCGAATTTCGGAAAAAAAACGGTGGAAGCAAAATTGTACTCCTAATATAAGACAACATTGGGTAAGTATCGGATAATCTAATCTCGCTTGATCGATGTCGCATGCCGTGATTAGCCTCATATTCGGACTGTGTTTGACTTGGTTTGCGAATGTTCACATCGATCACTCATTTTACTTCTAATCAAAGAGAAACAAAAGAACATCTCAGTTATTTTTAGGTTTTACAACTTTTTTGAACTTAGTTGGATTAAAACAAGAAATTTCCTACTTATAATTTTGAATAATTTAAATAGTATTTATGGTCTATTTTTAAGTAAAAACTTTTTTTATTCAATTAGATTAGATAAACTGCATTTCATATTTAGAATATTAAATTAAGCAGTATTCATAGAAATGGCTGATATTATTTTTGAATTTAATTGAATTAAAAATCTGCACTTCCTATTCACAATTCTTAATTAAGTAATATGCATAGAAAATGCTAATATCATTTTTAGATTGAAAGGCATAGAGATATGCTTTATGCAATTCTTATAAATGAATTAAAATGTATTCAGAATTGAAAAGCATTCATTTTAACATTTGTGAATTAATATAATATTTCTGAAAATCTAAATCCATTTCAATTCATTTCAATCCATTGTCGTTTGCTGAGAATGCTAACGTTATTCGTCGTCATTTTAACGTCATAATGACAAACATCATCGATTTGCTACTTGTGCTAAGATCCTATATAATAATTTGAAAACGTCCTAACATGACATCAAAATGACGTTCCTGCGATGATGTCAATAGTCTGCGATCGTTATCTATATTCAGTAAATGACCAAAATTTGACACTAAAATGATGTGTGTTTGCTATCTGGGGCTGCGATTGATCACATGATATAAATGGATATATAATAACCTAACCCTAATCTTGTAACTGGAGGGAAATTTTCATATAGACGAGAATTTAGATTACAACAGCAATAATTATTCCAGGTAAGGAAAATCATGATTAAACGATCCAACAAGTAATCCCAGCACCGATATAGGTTTGAGCAGAGACCAGACAGAC